GGTGGGGCGGGGAGCAGGCCCCGCGGGAGCGAGCCCGGCCGGGGCCCGAACGTTTGGATCCCAGAGCGCAGGGCTAGGACCGCCCCCCTTTGTGAAACCTGCCGCGTAGTCACTGTTTGGGGGCTCTTCGGGCTGATTCAGCGAGCGCAGACTGGGGTGGGGTTGGGGAGGCTTGGGCCAGGGATTGGAGGGTCGTGGAGAAAAGTTCAGAGGTGACTTAACATGCAGCCTCTAGAGGGGCTCTCAAGAGATCGGGAGACACATGTAACTCAACTCTTGACGGCCTGACTCATGTGGTTAGGAAATGCAGAGGGCGTGGAGAAGGGAAGTTGAAGGTGTTGAGGGCGAGGGAGGGAGGGCGGGAAGGAGAGGGAGAGAGAGAATGAGAATGAATGGGGAGGGGACCACATACTTTGCACTAGAGCCCATGCCTCTGGTCTGTTTCAGGGCATAGCTGTACAGTTCCCGCCACTCGCTCCCTTTTCCCTCATTATGGGATTATTCCTGTCATCACACATGCTGTTCCTTCTCCCATCTTAAAAGCAAGCAAACAAAAACCAACCCTCTCTTGACCCGCCAGCATTTCCCTACTCCCCTTTACAGCAGACTTCTGAAAGACTCGGCCATCCTCACGGCCTCCAGTTCCCCCTCCCCTCCCATTCTCTCTTGACTCACTCCGGGTTTTCCCTCCCCACAGTCCTTTAACGTTTGTTAGGATGCCAAGAACAAGGGCCAATTGTCAATTCTCATCTTACTTGAACCATCATCATCTTATCTAACACAGTTGATCACTTTCCCTCTCCAAATGTTGTCTTCACTCGGCTTCCAGGACACCAAGCCCTCCTGATTTTGCTGGAGTGTCCCAGTTCTCCGTCCTCGACCCTCTCCTTTTTGATGTCTATATTATTCCTCAGATGATCTTATCAAGTCTCATGATTTTAAATGTCAGCTATACACCAGGGACTCTCAACTTTTCTCTCCACCCCATACATCTCTGAACCCCCGCATCTTGATCTCTAATTGATTGTAAAATAAACATATTCAACTTCACATGCCCCCAAAACTCCTGCTGTGTCCACCTCAACTTAATGCAAACTTCCCCAACGCTGCAAATAGCAACCTCATCCCTCCAGTTACTCAAGCCCAAAACTTGGGAGACATTTCTTTCGTACTCAAAAGCTAATTCCTCGGCAAAGGTAGTTGGCTCCACCATGAAAACAAAACCAGAATCCAGTCATGTCTCACCACATCCCCTGCTACTAGGTATAGTAGGTCCAAGCGGCCGTTATCTTTCACTTGGATAAAGGCAAGAGCCTCACCCTGACTGGTTTGGCTCAGTGGATGGAGCATCCGCCTGCGGACTGGAGCGTCCGGGTTCGATTCTGGTCAGGGGCATGTGCCTTGATTGCGGGTGCATCCCCAGTGGGAGGTGTGCAGGAGGCAGCTGATCGATGTTTCTCTCTCATCGATGTTTCTGACTCTCTGTCTCTCTCCCTTCCTCTCTGTAGAGGAGTCAATGAAATATATTTTTTTTAAAAAAAGGCAAGAGCCTCTTAACTGGTACCTCTGTGTCCACTCTTGCCCTCCTATAGTCTAGTCTTAATTCATTCTGAAAGTAATCTTTTAAACAACTTAAGATGGTGCGGCTTCTATGGAAAACAGTATGGTGATGGTTCTAAAAAACAATAACCATGTGATCTAGCCATTCTACTTGCAGGTATACACTTAAAAACATTGAAAGCAGGAGCTCCCACAGATATTTGTACACCCATGTTCATAGCTGCATTATTCACAGTAGCCAAGGGGTGGGAGCTACCCATGTGTCCATTGACAGGGAACGGATAAACAAAATGTGGTATATAATACAATTGGGTCTTATATAATTGGGTCTCTACTCTAGGTACTCTTGGGTACCTACTCTAGGTACCTCATATAGATGGATTCATACAGTATTTGTCCTTTTGTGACTGGCTTATTTCACTGGGCATAATGTCTTCAAGGCTCATCCATGATGTAACATGTGTAAGAGTTTCCTTTTTTAAGACCCAATAATATTATAGACCCAATATTAACGTTTCTTAGGATGCCAAGAACAAGGGCCAATTGGTGCGGCCCTAAGAAGACCCTAAGAAACGTTAATATTGGGTCTATAATATTATTGGGTCTTAAAAAAGGAAACTCTTACACATGTTACATCATGGATGAGCCTTGAAGACATTATGCCCAGTGAAATAAGCCAGTCACAAAAGGACAAATACTGTATGAATCCATCTATATGAGGTACCTGGAGTAGTCAAATTCATAGAAAGTAAAAGGGTTATCGGGCTCGGGGGCTGAGGAAATGAGTACAGAGTTTAACTTTGGTAGATGAACAATTCTGGAGACGGAGGGTGGTGTTGGTTGCACAACAATGTGGATGTACTTAGTGCCACTGAACTGTACACTTGAAAACAGTTTAGCCCTTGATGGTCTGGCTCAGTGGATAGAATGTTGGCCTGTGGACTGAAGGGTCTCGGGTTCGATTCCAGTCAAGGGCACATGTCTAGGTTTCGGGCTCGATCCCCGGTATAGGGCGTGTAGGAGGCAGCCGATCAATGATTCTCTCTCATCCTTGATGTTTCTCTCTCTCTCCCTTCCTCTCTGAAATCAATAAAAATATATTTAAAAAAAGAAAATAGTTTATATTAGGTATATTTTACCAAAATAAAAAAATATATATGTGTAAGTAAGATCACAACCCTTCTCCTCTGCTCAAAATTCTCTCTAATGCCTTATTTCACTCAGAGGAAAAGCCAGTAAGTTCTCGCAAACTCCTTTATGGCCCTACATGGTTGATCTGACAGTGAACTGTGGCTTCCTTAGTATCTCTGCTCCAGCAATACTGGCCATTTTGATGCTCCTTGAAAATTCCCAGCCCTCTCCTCAAATTATTTAAAACTGTAACGTGCACCCCCAGCATTCCTATTCCTCTCCCCTGCTCATTTTTTTCTTCACACAACTTATCACCATCTGACATACCATAATTAAAAAAAAAAAAAGG